TACAGGATTCTTAAAGATGAAGTAGCCCCTAAACAGTGGTGCAAACTATGGCATTGGTGTTACTATGTTTTTCTTTTAAGACAAAAGATGTTGATGTATGAGTTATTTTTTCTAAACTAAAAGCTCAGTATTAAGGTTTAAGTGCAGTGTTGGCACGTTGCAATGCATAAGAGGGTTTTGGGTTACAGTTTGGGCACTCATTCTGTAAAAGGTTCACCACCATTGCCCTAAAAGGGTATCTGTCCAATCTCTCTTTTTTTTTTTTTTTTTGTACAGGGGATTGAATTCATGACCTTGTGCTTATGAGGCCAAATCTATTAATGCAATATCTTTATTACAACACCTGTAATTATTATTATTATTGTTTTTTGGTACCCAGGATTGAATTCAGAACCTTGCGCTTGCAAGGCAGGTACAGCACCACTGAGCTAAATCCTCAATCCCAGCACCTGTAATTATTATCCTACTTCTACTTCAATAATTTCAAGCCTGAAGGGGAAGCAGCAAGGGAAAACCTGCTGCCTTAAAAAGCAGTCTTAGGGCTGGGGATTTAGCTCAGCGGTTCGGTGGCCTGCCTTGCAAGTGCAAGGACAGGAGTTCAATCCTTGGTACCAAAAAAAAAAAAAAAGCAGTCTTATTCACTGGCAGGCAGATATAGCTCTTAATTCGCTCTTTGTTTTAAACTGAATCTTGGCTGTCATTCACTCTACTCAACAAATATGAATAGAATCATTGGGTACTGGGGTTTAAAAATGAACAGATCCAGTCTGTACCTCAAGAAGCTTACTGTCTAGTAGAGGTGACTGAGAAGACAATGTGCTAAGTGCTATGACTGAATCATATCCAGATCCTATGAGTATAGAGGGGGGTATGAGTCAGCCATCTCAAAGGATTAAAGAAGGCTTTCTGAAGGCAGTCATGTTTATTCTACTAGGCTGCCATATTAATTAATTTATTTTTTGAGACAAGTTTTTGCTGTGTAGTTCACACTTGCCTTGTGCCATATTAATTTGTAAACTATTATCAACTTAAGACTTACACAGTACATACATCTTAACTAAAAATGAGAATTATAATCATTTTCTAACAACTTCTCGGCTTCCAAGTTATATTTGTTGAAATCTTACTGGCCTTTCAAAATTATTTTTAGAGGTTATCTCTTTCATTCTTGATCCTTGATCTTTTTTTATTTCTTTTTTTGTACCGGGATCAAACTCCAGACCTTGCACTTGGGAGGCAGGCAGCAGAACCAATGAGCTAAATCCCCAGCCCATCCTTGATCTTGATTCTTTCATTCATTAGATCTATTTTTTGTTTTGTTTTTGATGCTACAATTTGTCTTGTTTCGTCAACTTTCAGTTTTAGCATTTTAGGATTATAAACTGAAGGATAGGGACCAGACTTAATTTACATGTAGGTCCCACTTGGATATAGCAGGGATTAAGAAATATTTGTAGCATTAAATTTAATTAAAGCCCTATCACTTGCTTTTACCTGGACTGAATTCTGAAACAATCCAGGATTAGTTATATCGCTAAGATACTGATTTTGTTGTATTTAATTTCACATGTTTAATAGCACACACACAATCATGTGTTATTCAATTTTATTATTAGTGGCAAGAACACCAGACTCAAGTTTGAATCTACCATTCATGTTCATTACCGTCTCTAGACCTACAAATTCACTGCAAACTACAAAGCTTACATTAAAGAAGGGCTATCCAGCTTTTCAGTCTTTTGAGAAACCCTGTAAGAATTGTTTTGTTTTCTCTTGGATTTTCCACTTTTTCTTTTTTGTTTTTTTGAGACAGAGTCTCACTATGTAGTTGAGACTAACCTGGAACTCACTATGTAGCCCAGGCTGGTCTCGAACTCACAGCAATCCTCCTGCCTCAGCCTCCTGAGTGCTGGGATTACAGGCGTGTGCCACCACGCCCAGCCTCCACTTTTTTCTTTATTCTCAAACTATTTCCTGAACCTTGCAAAGCAAAAGTGATCATACATTAATTCCTTAAAAATTTAGATAGTAATCTAAGATTCATTGGTAATTATATAAAATATAGTGACATTATGGCACAGATTTTACCCCCTGCAACATGACTTTCATTTTTATTAAAAACTCCCTTTATATAAATTCTGAATTAACAATTTGATATATAAATTATATATGAAACTTTCCTGGTATGTTTAGTTTAAAAAGTCAAACGCACATGCATCTCCTTGATTCAGCGTGTAAAATAAAACCAGATTCTCATTTAATAAAAACCAACCAGGAAGTAATGTGTCTTCTAACTTATCTTTCATTTTGCCAGTGCCTATCTCTTACAGTGCCTCAAAAATGATTCTGTGATAGATGGGGCTATAAGTCCCATTTTACAGGTTAATGCGCTGAGGTCTGGATAAATTAAAACAATTTGCCACAGACCAACAACCATTCAATGGAACTGAAAGACTACATCTTCTAATTAAAATGTTCCACATTTACTTTTACTGGACTAATACGGGGACCCAAGGCCGACAATAAAGGGAAGCAAGAAATGAAGGGTCTGGGGCGTGGGAATGTGAGAGCCGCCAGTCCAACTCTGGCTAAGGCTGGTCACTCTCAGGCCAGGGAATCACGCCTGCGGCCTTCCAGACAGCCAAGGGCGAGGAAGCTACCTCGGTCCTACTTAGGACCACCCATGCTGTTATAGCTCCACAGCTAGGCCGAGATCAAAAGGTGATCACTTCTATACAACCAGTTTTAAATTAGACAGAGTCTACCAGAAAAACCCTGGTGCAAAACAGACAAGCTACCCACCGTACAGAGAAGAAAATCACCGTCGCAAATCTCGCTTCCGGGTCTGTTCCCGGTCTGCTCAGGATTGGCTCCTTAGCGGGGGCGGGGCCTCACAGCTCCTGCCCCTGACGCCTCACCGTATTCTTCAGCCAATGAGAATCGAGAAGGACCGCTTACATCATCATGAGGTATCGCGAGAGACACAAGCTGTTTTCCCGCGCCCAGTTCGGGTTTACGGCCCAGCGCTCTCTCCTGGGTCCCTGCTGGGTGTTCTCGTGAATCCCGCCCCCTTTTGCGGAGTAGAAGAGAGCCTCGTGCAGTGTGGTGAGGCTTTGAAGAGTACAGTTATAGGAATTTGGAAATCGCATGTTTTACAGGTTCTGGGGCCGACGCCCAGAGTGAGTAGGACCCTCTGGGAGGATTCTCTGGAGTGCTCGCGTTCTGGCTTCAGAGTCCCGTGGCTGGGGCTGGCGAAACCTGGAATTTGGGAGTGCTTTCGTGGCTGCTGCTGGTGGTTCCAAAATCAGGCCACTTTAGTAGTTGTGCTGGCGCTCAAAGGCATTTCTCCGCAGACCACGTGCTTGGTTGTTAATTTATTCTAGCTTTATATATAGGGTCCTTCTCTTCCAAAAACAAGCCCATGCCATCCGGAATCTCATGTTTGAGGGGAAATACGAGGTTGCTTCCGGGCTTCAGAATGACCTATGCATGCAATTTAAATATTTCTGCACATGCAGAGTTGTGTGCTGAACTAGAATCCTATGTGACCCTTTCTGTCTATTTAATCTACATTTATTTTTATTAGGAGCAAGGGAAAAAGAAAATAGATCATGTAACCATAATCGTGGAACCACAGTGGCACAGGAGTAGATGCTTGATGAAAATAAGTGTTTTCCAAAATTTCAAATTGACTTGTCTGTACCCTTTGCAACCTGACTCATGTTGGTTAAGTACAACTTTTTCAAAAATGTGTTTTATGATACTTGTTTTTAGAATTTGAAATCGAGTGAGCTTTCTGACGTACTTGAACACAACACCCAGGGCTACTTGGAGAGAAATCTGGTCCCAGAGAAGGTCTACTGGCCAGAAAAATGAGTCCTACAGATGCACTGTAAGCCTGTGACTTCTGGAATCCATTGTTACTTTTGTTTTTTAAAGTATATCAACTGTGAGCGCCTTTAAAGAAAATTTAGCAGTAAGCAGATTTACCTTTGGACAGGAAGTGTTAATCATCAAAAAGAACGTTTGGAATGTGTAAAAGTCTATATTATATATGTTTATTATTGAAAAAATAATGCAGTGGAATAGTTTGGAGTCTTGCAGTAATTTGTTATATTGCTACAGTATGTAAGCTTATGTTCTTAGGCTTTGTCTTAAAATATTTAAGATGTAAATATCCTTACATTTTCGCGTTGAAATCCTATTAGTCAATGCGGGTTTACTTAAGTAAATTTTTAGAGTAAATTGCTCTACTATTGATTGAGTTGAAAATAAATTTGAATAAAGTGGATGTATGCAAAAGTTAAATGGAAAAAGCTTTAGACTTGCAGTAGTTCACCTGGTTTCAAGTATTTGGTCAAAACTAACTGTGACATTGGGCAAGTCAGCAATTCTGAGCCTTGTCTGTTTCTTCCTTTTTTGTATAATTGGAATAATAATGCCTTTCTCAGATTAACTTTGAGGGTTGAATGAGAAAATTTTAATGAAAATACCCTGTACACTACTGTGGAAGTAGTAATCTGATCTGAAATGTTTGTGTGTAGCAATCAGAACTTTGTGCATATTATTTTTGAAGTTTCTGAAGAAAAATCTTGCTAAATTTTTTTTATATATAAAGATTTGGATTTGGGAGATAGATACGGAAAAAAAATTTTTTAAACTCTTTTCTGGTTTGGTAGGAATAGCCTGAGTTTTCATTGTAGTATTTATTGCTGTTTCTGTCATTTGTTGAGCAATAGATTAGTTAATTTCTCTGTACATACCCTTTTTATTTTTCAGGTTGAGATCATAAAATTATTTTAAAGAATTAAGATGGCTGGGCCAGGGATTTATCTCAGTGGTACCACTGCCTGCCTCACAAGCACAAGGTTCTTAGTTCCATCCCTAATCCTTGGTACCAAAACAAACAATTAAGCTGGCTGTTATGGTGCACACCTATAATCCCAGCACTTGGTAAGCTGAGGCTGGAGGATCACCACAAGTTTAAGGCCAGCTGGACCTACGGTGACAACTGTTTCAAAAAAAGTTACAATAAGTTTAAGAGTGTTAATAACTATTGTATTTCTGCTTCATATGAAAGTACTTGTACAAAATTTCATTTGAATTGAAAGTTTTTTGTTTTGTTTTGTTTTGTTTTACTTCCCCAAATTTATTAATGAAAAAGTAACTATGAAGATAGTGAAGTCAAGTAAGTATTTTCAGGGATCTGAATGTAAGTTACTAGATAGTATAAAATCTAACTTTTAAACTTAGAAGACTTAAATTTTTATTTTCCTAAAATTGTGCAGAATCTGATAAGCCAAGTTTAGAAATAACGATCAAAGCCTTTTGGGTTTTTATGGTGCAACAGAATAGGAGGGGAGAAGCAAGTTGTAAGATCGGGATTATATGAGCGTATATAAAACTGGTTATAACAAGGTTATATATTTCTGAAGCATTTACAGAATCCTTTAAAAATTATATACATTTGTCTGTATTGAGTTAATGGCTAGGGAAACTGTGATTTTAACTGTTTAATACTTCAAAATTTCAGACCAAGTTGAAGGATAGAAAAATGATTTTATTCCATACATAACTGCTGTAATTTATTTTGTCCCTATGTCTCTTTTGCTTGAATATCTTTTAATGCATTCAAATGTTTTATTTTTTAATACAGTGTTGATGAAAGTACATTTAAAATCTTAGTTGCAACTGATATTCATCTTGGATTTATGGAGAAAGATGCAGTGAGAGGAAATGATACATTTGTCACACTTGATGAAATTTTAAGACTTGCTCAGGAAAATGAAGTGAGTTTGGTTTATATCTGTGGGTTTTCTACTCTATTTCCTTGGTCAACAGGCTCTTTTCTCTGAAGTTTGATTTATTTTCGAAGGCTCGTGTGCTCACACTGCCTAAGTATCAATATATTAAAAGCTCAAAGCAGATCGCACTCCCACCAGGGATCAAACTCAGGACCTTGCACTTGGGAGGCAGCTCTGGCACCACTGAACTAAATCCCCATCCTTTCAAAGCAGATTTTGTATGTTTTATGTCCTTAATTCAAGTAGGAGCTACTTTGATGCAAGTTTTCTTATAATTTACGAATATTCATGGGTGTTTAATGTGTGCCTGGTCAATTTCTATCTGAAGTGCATATATTGCTGTCATAGTTTGTGCTTTCAAAGAACATGTAGCAAACTAGAATATGGGAGAAAACATCCAGAATACACATATGGAAAGTTATATGGCAGGAGATGTAAGAAAATCATAAGCAGCATTTCCTGAGAATTCAGAGCTGGAAGAGATCACAATTAGATGAGAATTGCAAGATAAGCTTAATGAAGGAGGTGGCATTAGACTTGGGCTTTGAAGAAGAATAGACTTTGATGCTTGAAGAACATAGAGAATGTACATTTCTTGTGGAGCAGGAATAAAAGCACAGACATGAGACTGTACAAAGTGTGTTAGGTGACCAGCAAGTCTCTGCCTCGGTTGTAGGCCGTGTGTTAGCATGCTGAAAGTCTACAAATGAGGGTTTGAGTTGCATTGAGGAGGGCATCAAATGCCACACAGTGGAGTTTGTACTGAATTCAGTGGCCAGTTTTCTGGCAGCATGGGTGTAATAGAATGAATTGTTACAGAAGGCTGTTTTGCCCACCACCTGCCTCACAAGCGCAAGGTCCCAAGTTCAATCCCCAGTACCAAAAAAAACCAAACAACAACAACAAACAAACAATGGCATTAGGAATGGAAAAGAGGAAGCGGATGCAAGAGATATTACAAAAGTAGGATTTGGGTATCTGGGTTATAGGAGTGAGGATGGAGGAAAAGGGATGACAATGACTGAAATATGTTGATGGGTGGATGGTGCTACCAGTAGTAGAATTAGATGAATAATTTTTTGTGTGGGAAGGTAATGAATTCTGATTTACACTAATTTAGAATTGGAAATTTCAATAGGCCTTTCAGGGTAACATTCTAGTGGGGAGTTGAATATCATTTTAGAGCTCAGGAAAGAGTAGAAGGATAAACAAATGCTAGTGACTTGCAAATTAATAACCTTGACTTCTATAGTTTCTGTTCAGTTTATCTGTAAAGCCTTTAGTTCTTCCTTCGGAATATAAATGGAACTTCCTCACTACTCTGTATCTTCACACTTGTAGATCTAGTACCAAACTTTTATTGCAGTTTGCCTGAAGTGCACTTGCACTCCACTACTCTTTCCACTTCATTCTCTCCCCCTGTATCCATTCAGCATAGCCGCTAAGGTGAACTTTTAAAATCGTGAATCAGGTCTGTCCTTGTGCTGCTTAAAATCTTCTAAATGACTTTCCCTTGAACATAGAGTAAAATTCAAACTACAGGGCTGATTTGCTCTGGCTCCTGCCAGGAGACTTCTCCAACTCTGCCTGGTTTACAGGGTTCTGTCTTTACTGGTGTGCTCTAGTTTACTGTGCTTAGAGAACTTCAATCTTGTTAGGTTGACTTCTCAGGTCAGATTTTACCTTTTTGAAGAGGTCTTTCGTAGCATTATGTATTATTTTATCACATAGCCCTGAAGTAATTTACCCTTTTGTGTTTTCTATTGGAAGGTACCCTCCATGAGAGTGAAAAACCTTTTCTGCTTGTTGATAATTATTGATATTATCTAGAAAAGATGTAAAAAGTAGTGGGTACTCCTATTAATTTGTTAATTGAGTGAAAGAATGATTGGCATTATATCCTTTTAAGATGGATTCTTCTTTCTGGAGGGTAGAGAATCTTATGGCCAAAAGTGGTCTGTTTCTGCCAGAAAATCCTGCACATGATCTTTCTTAATCTAAAACATTTCTTTCCCTGAACCCAAGCCACTTCTTTGTCCTTTCCTTGACTTTTGTTTCCTGAT